TCATGGTGATCAATGTTATGCGTACTTGCAGTATTGGAGCTTGTAAAAGGGAGCAAGTTGTTTCTGGTATAAGCCCCGAAATGTTCGATAAAATTGGTCCAAAATTCATCGCTTCAATGTGATGGATGCTTCAACGTATGGAAATAATAATTATTTACAGTATTGGTTGCAAGTATAATGGCATTGTAGTCATCGAGTTGCTCTAAGTGAACCAATGTTCAGCCACTTAGATTCGTAATGTACTCTGGTTCTGCTATATGTTTGAATTGGACTAATTCACTTATTGATTGGGGATTATGACATGCTGATATGATCAGATGTGCCTTTTCTCTTCGAGTATTAAAAATGGTAGCTGTATCAAAAAGATCTTGAAAGTCCCTATCACTTTGGATATTATGAGCATACCAGAGTTTTTTCCATAACAACCTGAGGTGCTGTCGTACGTGCTTTCTTTTTAATGAACCATCCTGCCTCTTTAAGCCTAGCCACTGGCTGAAAACAACCCACAATTGCTTATTAGTGATATTAGGCGATGATCCCTTAATGCCAACATCGGTCTCTCTAATAATGTCAGTATAGATTAGAGAGAGAAAGTTTGACAGAATCTCAGGCAACTCAAAAGAGTTACTGTCAGAAGATTTTGCTTCTCTAATTAGAGTTTCAATTAGTAATTCTTTGGCCGATATGTCGTACCAAGCCTTATTTTTTTTGGTTGATACCCGATCTGAAGAGCAGAGAGGAATACTTGTCCACTTCCTCTCCAAATAATAAATATTATCATTAGCAGATATTTTTTGGGTGGCGGATTGGATTCAATGCCAAGATGGATCGAAGACGATATCATCGATTAGCAAAGGGATGTCAACGTCCAACTCGTGAAACATCTCAGCTTGTTTCTGATCATGCCTAAATTTTTTGTTTTTGCGTGTATGGGCCTGTCTCGACAATTTGGTTTCAGTAGGCCATGCATTCTGTGTTATGACGTTCTCCCCTTTTCGCTTATTAGTTGATGCTTGCATTATAACTTTCAAAAAAAAGAAAATATGTTATTAGTATGAATTCGATTTAATGGATTCTCGCACTAAAAAAAAGAGAGGACT